TTTTTGAATCGGCAGCGGGATAGGGTGTTCTTGAATCAAATTCCTAAGTAGGGCGTTCTTGAAAAGTTGTATGGGAAAGAGCGTTTTCGAACTGTCGATCTTGCACTCAGGTGTTCATTTGTTGATCATTTACGCTAAAAGAGCTTAACGGATTTCAATGAAATTTGGCACACAATAGATTATAACCCGGATTAAGATATAGGATGTTTATTTGAAGAGATTTGCACCTTTGTTTAGGTTAATATCAACTAATTAATAAGTCAAATAAAATATGTGAGTGTTAAACGAAAGGGGTTACAAAACGATTTATTTCAAAAATTCTTTTAAAGGGAGTTGCAATCTGATCGAAATTGAAAATCGATTAACTAATATGCTAAGTAAAATATCACAATAAAGTGTGTGTGTCAAACGAAAGCGGTTAAATAACGAGTTTTTGCGAAAATATTCTTTATGAAGGTTGCTACTTGTTCAAAAAATTAAGATCAATAAATTATGGGTATTACTCGGGACAGGTTTAAGAAAGTTGTATTTCAAAATATTTGTAAAAGGGCTGCCACTAAATTACAAATTCAAAATCAATTTAATTTAAGTTAAATACAATTTTTTAATATGGGTATCAAGCGGGAGCTGTATCTTCTTCAAAAACATTTTTGGGCGTGGGTTGCCACCAGCTTAGGAATTTAAAATCAATTTAATGACCAATATATTTGTTTCTCTTTAATAAAATTTAGCATAGAGATAGCTTACGACCCTGATAAGCTTAAAGCATTTTTCCTGAAGGAGGTTGCCACCTTCTTAAATAATTATAAGTTCAACAAAATTTTACAGTATGGATGCCAAACGAATGTGATTTAAAAAAGTTGTATTGCAAAGCACTTTTAAAGGGAGTGCTACTTATTTAAAAATTTAAAACCAATTTGGTTAATAAGTTAAATAAAAATAAGTTTTACAGTATGGGTTGCAAGCGATTGAGGTTTAAGAAAGTTTTATTTTGAAAAGATTTAAATGCTTAAAAGCCAAATAACATTTTTGCATACATTAAACATTCTTTTCGAAAATATGTTTTAAAAAGGGTTGCCACCGCTTTAAAAGTAAATTTGAATTAAATCAATAAGTTAAATGAAAATTACAAAATGATGTTAAGTCAAACAAAATATTTTTAAGAAGGCTTGGTTTAAGCTTTTTTTTAAAAGGGTTGCCACCTTTTAAATGTCTAATTAGATTAAATCAGTAACTTCGATGCAATATTCCAATATGCATCTCAAAATAAACATGTTTAAGAGAGTTTTCAATAGAACTTTCTCTACAAATGTTTATTGTTATCTTCACTGTTAATTTCATCCTCGCTAACGTCATCCAAAATTTCAAAATAAAAAAATTTGTCTATTGTTATCGATTTTTTTCGATACTTGACCATTATAGTTTTCCCCTAAATCTCTTCACACGCAGCTCACACCGCTTCTTGGGGAGCTTCACATCCGGAAATAATGACAAAATGCGCAGGAGAATATAGGGGCCAATTGGGGCCATTAGATCCAACAAAAGAGGGAACGTTTAACTTTCTCTACAAATTATTCAGGTATGCACACTTAAAACCTACTCAAAAATTACTTAATTACTGCATTCTTACTATTCCGTAGAGAAATCAAAACCCTTTTTCCCGACAAATATTTACACTTAGGTATCGATGAAGTCGATTCCGCTTGCTGGGAAACAAACGCCGATATACAAGCCTATCTAAAGGCGCATGGGCTGGACAATGGCGACTTATCGTATTTGTATTTAGAACGTTTCTCTGCTAACATCTCAGCAATGGGCTGGAAGCAGATGGTGTGGCAAGAGGTAAGCAAAACTGTTTTCACTAAGATACTCGTACATACATATGTATGTATATGGAAATATGAATCGTAAATCCGATTTCATTCAGGCTATGGCCGAAAACTTCTACATGGAATGGCCTGCCGGCACAATCGCTCAAATATGGTTTGATTATAAAAATACTATGGCTGCACTTACGAAAAAAGGTTACGATGTCATTATGAGTGATGGTTGGTACTTGTATGTGCTGGACACTGGCGCTGATTGGGAAAAATTCTATAATATTGAGCCGACAGACTTTAAGGGTAGTAAAGCTCAGAAAGCGCATGTAATTGGTGGTGAAGCTTGTCTATGGAGCGAGTGGATCAATGAATATAATGCATTGCCGACGACGTTTCCGCGTGTCAGTGCCACAGCTGAGCGTTTGTGGTCTTCGCAGAATGTACGAGATGTAGAAGAGGCGCGTCTGCGTTTAGAGGAACATAATTGCCGTATGATATGGCGAGGAATTGAAGCGCGACCAGCGAACGGGTTTGGAATATGCTAGACAAGTAGCTATTTATATAAAATAAAGGGTATATTGAACACTACCGACTCCGAAGTAGTAATCACTCGAAACCCTTACTAGGCTTACAAAGCAAAAATAAATTATGTAAGAAATTATTTACTTATTAAAAACATTTTAATGGAGACTTTCTAGTGTTCGCTATTATCATTATATACTACTTATACTAACAAATCTAGCTACCGATATTTTACAACAACCGATTTTTGAAATAGAGCTATCAAATTGGTTGAACCTTGTTCCTCCGAAAACAATTAATTTGGTTACCTGGGGTCTACGCTTATAAAGATAAACTGGACATTTGCTGGAATAGGTCATAAGAGCTTGCACAATTGTTTATATTAAAACAAGTAATTTTTAGCAAAAAAAAACCGACTTAAAAAAAATATATATATATCTATATATTTCATGATCCAATGATCGGATCTAAACCAAATTCGTATGGGACCACCTCTGAGACACTACCTTTCCGTTGCAAATTATTGAAATCGGTTGACGTGGTGCAAAGTTATGCGGTAACATACATAAAAAAAAATAAATAAAAAAATAAAAAAATATTCCGACGAACTGATAACCTCCTCCTTTTTTGGAAGTCGGTTAATAAGAGCTCGCCCCAAACATGGATAAAAGATCTTTGGAATTAAAAAAGTAATTTAAATACATTTTCTCCAACAGAGAAGCTGTTAAATTTGGGTCTTCCAAGCATCTCGACTCCTGCGTCACCTATCGGATTAAGTCATATTGCATTGTCGTCGGCTTCTCAGCTATGTTTGAAGTTTGAAGTATCTTAATCACCGAGAAGTGGGCCAAAAACTGATTGCAAGGTTTGAAAATTCATAAAAGTTTTTAAAAATGGTGCACAGTAGGCTTCCTTTTATTTATACTTGTTGGATTTTTCCCCATACCTTATCATTTGTCTGATTTGCCTTTCGTTCTTTGTTCAAGGGATCGGCGTTAATAAATGAACAAAATATTTGTTAATCATAATACTTCCCTGAAACCACTACAGACATTTTGATAAATTCTCAAGGTTAGCCTCTATTTTATTTAGTACTAAATACTTACGTGTTAAAGAGATAGTCGCTGGTTTAAGCCGCGTCAATGTACCTTTGGCAGTCTGCTGTGCCTTTGGCGGCGGTCCCAAATCTGTAGGCGATATGCTCAAGTTTCGCACATCACGCTTTTTGGCAGCTCCTGTAATTGCAACAAAATAAAACCATTCACTTAGCAAATAAGCGCGAGTATTGTAAATCATCTTAAAAATAACTTAAAGTCTTAAAAAACTCGTCGATTAAAAAAGTTTTATTTATATGCCCTTTCTATTCCAATTCCCTAAGGGCTAAATGTAAGCATGTTGAATTTATATGTCTTCTTTTTTGTATAAATTAGTTATAACCAGGATGCGCTACGTCAGCGTAATTCAGTTCAAGATAGATTACCGTGTGTGTTAAATGAGCATTTTGACCCTCTATAAAACATGTGATTATATGAAGCAAAACCTTCTTAAGGCTTGACTATTAAATATACATACATACTAACATTTAGGTTTTAGACCATCTTTGTTCTCGAGATGGCGACACTTCAACAACCCTCTGAATCCGACAAATCTAGTTGTATATTGCTTTCGACTAGCCTTGGAGTGCTCAAAAAATTAACCCTCCAAACTGGAGATCAAGCGAAGAATAACTCCGGCCAGCAGTTGCTACTCCGGGCTTGGTAGGCAATTGAAAATCAGTGCCCTCTCTCGACGAACAAAAATTACGCTTCAGAAAACCACGCCTAGATGAACAGGTGACGAGTACCAAAGTAAATGAACGACAAAGGCCGTATTCGAGCTGCCCTGTTAGTATTCCCGCGAGAAGCCTAACGTTCGGCTTTAAGAGTCTTAACCAACTCCACGGTTTTCGTTCGCTGAGGCGTAGCCAGAGATCGCTTACCCCAGTCCTATCTCAGATCCAAATAGAATGGTGCGAAAATTGCGAAGAAAAGGCACAGCTGTGCATATATTTTCATCACTTCCTGGTACGGCCTCTGATGAAAATATGAAATAAATATTATGCAAACAAACACTACAACCTAATTTTTTCAGTTTTTAATTGTACAACCGACCCTAATAAGATTGTCTGATTATGCCTGCACAGCTTTTAAATTGAAAGTTAAGTGATGGATAAGTCTCCCTTTCTACGGGTGAACTGCTTGCTACAACGCGCTATTATTGCTCTTACTCCGCTAGTTTATGCATGGAACGTGACCATTTGACTTGGCGGCGATTAAATCGTGAGGGTATGTATGTACATTAGACTGCATCACCAAAAAAAGTTGGGGATTTTCTGCCGCGATTACAATTTTTTTTTATATTTGAAAAATTATATTTCTGAAAAATATAAAGATTAACGTGAGCTGGACCGATTTGAAAATACCTCCAAAAATGTTTTTTTTTTATGAGTAAAAATAGTTTCTAAAAGAACTTTTTGACAAAAGATCCCCTCAGATGTTTTTTTGGTGCTATTTTTTTAACTTTTTTCAAAGATTGGTTTACGAAAAACTTGAATAACTGGGCCGAAACTATTCTGATTTAGGCTTATGTGATCTCAGTAGAAAGGCATTTTCCCACGTTTTTTATTTCTGTGCAAAAAAAAACTCACGTCATGACCCCATTATTTCTTTTTTTTTAATAGAAATGAGAAAATACCTTTCCAATGATATCTCACAAATCTACATAAGTCGGAATAGTTTAGGTTCAGTTATTCAAGTTTTTCTTATATAAATCGTTGGAAAAAATCAAAAAACAGCATCAAATATCTCATTATTACGATTCCCTTGCAAATTTTAAAATTTTCTTTTAAATATTTTTATGCAAATTTTTTAAGCTTAAACCGTTTATTCATAAAAAACTCCATTTTTGGTGGCATTTTCAAATTGGCCCAGCTCTCGTAAATCTTAATATTTTTCCGAAACATTTTGGTGGAAGTCTAAAAATATAATAGATTTTATAATTCCAATGGAAACATAGTAACAATTTTTTTTTTGTATGGGGAATGATGCAGTCTAATGTATGTGCATACATACATGCATCAGTAGAAAACACTTTCACTCTTTTCTTCTAAATATGCTGCAAAATAGGAAAAGAGCGCTGTAAAAAGTGGACCCTCTCGTATATCTGAAACACTCCGATCATTAATAAATGCTCTATTTTCATATAGCATTTTATGTTTTAATTTGAAATCATTTCAAGCACTTACCATGGAACACTAGTTTTGCAATTTCGTTTTGAGTACCACATGTGCGTTGGAAAATTTAAAAAAATTTTGCAATAGCATACGTACATATGTATGTACATAGTATGTGTGTATGAGAATGTGTGCGCAGAAATGTTTTCTTAAATAATTGCGCTCTTTATTTGTATGTACAGCTTCTCCTTGACTGGCATCATTTATTGTTTGCCTTTTGTTTTTACCATTTCAATATTCTTCCGCTGACGCTACTTTTGGCATATGCAAATAAACTGTACTGCATCGCTAGATGTGGCGCATGTGGCACACTACATTGCAGCTGGACGATAAGTTCTGGTATGTAAATAGCTAACAGAGTGAAGTAGTGATTTCGATAAGTTTACCCCCTTTTTAAGGAGCAAGCAAGCATTTCTTTTTTAAAAGGCCATGCGATACAGAAGCCGAAATACAAAACTTAGTGGAAATGTTGCACAAAAAGCCAAGTGATAAATATAATGCCTACATGCACATATGTACACAAATATAATAAATGGATATATTGTTATTAAGACAAATTAAACGAGACTTACTTACATACATATATGCAATTACAAATGTGCATATTTAGATCTGCAGATGTTAACATCTGCACTACCTCTTTTTCATAAAAAGTTATTTCTCATGTATACATTTTATACTTTCTACTTCTCGGAATAATGTTCTTTTTCGATTAATCTTAAATTAACGGCAACTCATGTACAAAATAAGCTTTCTAGCTAAAAATTTATTCATATCAAATTCAAATTAGTGCTCTGTGATATCTGGCTGTACTTAACTTTGCTAGCTAATCATAGGTATTAAGGCTTTTCATTGAAGCTCGCATATGAAAGGAATAATTTCTATAAAAGCGAAAATTTTGAATGTACGAGTATGTATGTACATATATACATACATAGTTATTTAGCAAAAACTTAAGTAGCAGTTGTTGCAAATTTTTTTTTTTTGCCTGGCTGCAGGTGAGAGAATTCTATTGTGGAATTAATAGCAAGTTACAAGTTTTAATTTGCTTACAAACAAAAGACTAGTTAGCACATTTCTCATCTTGTTATAGCTCATACCTGTTAATTATTGGAAACAACGAGGCTGATTATATTTTAATTGTAACGTCTATATTTATACACACATGCATATGTACATATATAAATGAAACTTTGGAAAAACTGTACAAAGTTCCTACTTATTAATAGAAAAAATGTCGAATGAAAATTTGTAGCAAATAAGGGCACAATAAACAAGATTGAAACAACTCAAATTTAAGTTTGTATTTCTATCTCAAACGTCGTTTCTGAATTTAACTACCCTTAAAGAAGAATAGCATTCAAAAAATGGCGATTTTTATGCAAAACAAATGCATTCTTCTTAATCCATATAAGAACTCGAAAGGCCACAAATCTATATACATACATACACTGCCGGACAAAGTATTGGCATAGCAAATTTTTCACAATATATGAAACAATTTTTCTTCTAATATTTTTCCGCCAATTTTGTATAAAAATTTGGTTCATTCAACAACAAAAAGCATAAAAATAAAATTCTTAAACTTTGTGCAAAACTCGCGCAAATTCAGCAAATTTTCATCAAAATTTTCAACTTTTTAATCAGATTTTTTTAATTTTTTTTTTCAGTTCAATTCAAGTTCGGAGTTAGTCAAAAATCGCGTTGATTTTTGAGAATTCTTTTTGTTAAACGTGTTTTGCATTTTTCCATATCGATGGCTGAGTGGAAGATCGACCTATCCGGGCAGCCGGTTCGAAAACGCCCTATCTCAGAAAACTTTTCGAGAACGCCCTACTTCAGAATTTTATTGAAAAACAACCTATTTCAGAATTTTATTGAAAAACACTCTATCTCATAATTTTGTTGAAGAACGCCCTATCTCTGAATTCGGTTCAAAAACGCCCTATCTCAAACGAAAATACATTGAAAATAAGCTTAGATAGGGCGTTTTTAAATCGGCAGCTGAGATAGGGCGTTATTCAACCAAATTCTGAGGTAGGGCGTTCTTGAAAAGTTTTTTGAGATAGAACGATGTTGAAACATTTTCTGAGATAGGGCGTTTTCGAACTGGCTGCCGAGATAGGTCGATCTTCCACTCAGTTATCGATATAAAGTATTTTCGGAAAAAATTGTTTGTATGGAAGAGACTGCGTGAAAAAAATTACCAAAAATCAACGATAATTCCTATCTACTTAAAACTTGCACTTTATTATAATAAATTGATTGGGCTACAAATCTGCATACAAAATAATAAAAAATTCTAAAAATCTTATTAAGAAGTTGAAAATTTTCATGAAAATTTGCTGAATTTTCGCGAGTTTTGCACAAAATTTAGGAATTATATTTTTTTGTTCTTTATTGTAGAATGAACTATATTTTTATATGAAACTAGCGGAAAAATATTAGAATGGAAATTGTTGCATATATTGTGTGTGTGTGTGTGTAAATTTGCTGTGCCAATACTTTGTTCCGGCAGTGTATATAGTACGTGAAGTTTAATGTAGAACCCAAGGCAGATGCACTCCGTATAGAGTATCGTGCAACAAGAAAACGTGTAAAGGGCTCTTAAGACCTTTAAATCATATAAATCTCCAGGAACGGATGGCATATTCCATACCGAAATTCAGCAAGCGACCGACTTTTTACGCTCACTGCTTGCTAATACTTTCAAAGCATTCCTTAGCGTCATAGCTCACAGCAACGGGCAAGCATCTCCAATCTTTAAGCAAACTTTTTCAGAGCGCTCTCTGTCTCGTGAATAGCTGGTAGAGGGAGTAAGGACTCAGGGTCAATTCCACCAAAACTAAAATGATACTATTCATGGGGAAATATAGTGTACCGCCTCGTCAGCTCCCCTCTCCAAATGGTGTGGGACTCACACCCTCCAACGAGGAAGTTGGACTGGCAGCGAAACCTTACGCA